GTAAATAACATGGTATATATATTAGTGCACCGTTTTATTTTTTGTATTATGGTATTTTTTTTAAAATAGCTTGGAGTACTATGTACTAGGCTAAATGGCATATGCATGCTATATTGTAATCATTTTGTACCATATCAAAGAGCATTTACCATGGTATTCTTTATTTGGTCAGGTCTATGTTGATCACTATTTATAAAACACGTGTATTCAGACATGCACTGATATCATGACATTCTTTAACTGGAGTGCTTTACGCTGCTACCATCCAATATGATCATCGTAATCATTCTGTTCCATCAATAGCCTGGTATATTACCACAGTACTATAGTGAACGCGCACACTCACCTGTCTGTAATGTGTAGGACAGCCTGGTTTCGTTCAGGTACGGTGTGTCGCTCTTGGATCGGGCTCTTCTGATGGGCCGCCGGTCCACATCGTCCTGGTCGGGTGCCGTCGCCATCAGAGCCGCGGGACCCCCGGTGAAGCCCCGGCAACGGTAGAGACACGGGAGAGCGCGAGCAGGGGGAGGGATGGAGACTCCTCCTCGCTCCGTTAACCGATCAACCGACACGACACACGCGAGACACAAGCGCACGGACCGTTAATCGCATCCCGCCCTGATGCAGCACACGGACGAACGGAAACATCCAAATCCTGCTGCCGTATAACGTTTCTATCCGGGATGACGTGGTCCGCACGGAGAATCTGCACTGATGCGGCGGAGAGCGGATTTTCCGCGTGCGCGTCCCTCATTCACACGTTACACACGCTAGGTCTAATGACACATGCATGTAGATGTAGTAGCCTATAAACACCGGTAAAACGGCACCGATCTCCGTGCAGCGGTGACATCATCAGTGCCGATCAATGATCCGGACCACTTCACCTGTCTACGGTTCAGAGCCGACTCATTCTGAAGGATACGATAGAAATGCACACGATTGTACCATGCGAACTGTAATCAAAATAGAGAAATGTAACAGGTTCATTCCTGGTATTCGGTGCCTTCTGGACATCATCAAAAAATGTAGAAAATCAAACTCAGTTTTTAAAGACACTTTTGTTTTGTGTAATCATAATACGGTGATGAAAAACATTGAAAAAATGGTTTTGGTCAAGCTCGGGTAAATGTATCCATTTATTAAACAAAATCAATGAAATTGTATATCAGAAATGTCCACCCTGTTAGAGACAAATGAACAACAGTTTAAATACTACTTATTCAAATGTATGGGCATTGTGTACATTTTCTTAGATAACGAATGCCCCTTTGTCCTTTTAAAAGCATATCAGTTAATAAATTATCAGAAAATGTACAGAATATATTAGGCTTTCTTATATATATAAACGCTTCATTTTGCATTTTTTATTTTCAGATTCAAATTCCTAAAAGGCATTTTTGTTAACTTTTTAAAGTACTACATTATTGACAATTGTTCATAGTCACTGAATTATTAGTATTTTTCGGTATTTTTAATAAATTATTGTAAAAAAACAAAACAGGATGGACAAAATAAAAACAGAGTGCACTAAGTAATAACAGAGTGCACTAACAGAGTGGACTAAGTAATAACAGAGTGGACTAGGTAATAACAGAGTGCACTAAGTAATAACAGAGTGGACTAAGTAATAACAGAGTGGAGTAAGTAATAACAGAGTGGAGTAAGTAATAACAGAGTGGACTAAGTAATATCAGAGTGGACTAAGTAATAACAGAGTGCAGTAAGTAATAGAGTGGACTAAGTAAAAACAGAGTGGACTAAGTAATAACAGAGTGGCCAAAGTAATAACATAGTGCAGTCAGTAATAACAGAGTGCACTAAGTAATAACAGAGTGCACTAAGTAATAACAGAGTGGACTAAGTAATAACAGAGTGGACTAAGTAATAACAGAGTGGACTAGGTAATAACAGAGTGGAATAAGTAATAACAGAGTGGACTAAGTAATAACAGAGTGGACTAGGTAATAACAGAGTGGACTAAGTAATAACAGATTGGACTAAGTAATAACAGAGTGGACTAAGTAATAACAGAGTGGACTAAGTAATAACAGAGTGGACTAAGTAATAACAGAGTGGACTAAGTAATAACAGAGTGGACTAGGTAATAACAGAGTGGAATAAGTAATAACAGAGTGGACTAAGTAATAACAGAGTGGACTAAGTAATAACAGAGTGGACTAAGTAATAACAGATTGGACTAAGTAATAACAGAGTGGACTAAGTAATAACAGAGTGGACTAAGTAATAACAGAGTGGACTAAGTAATAACAGAGTGGACTAAGTAATAACAGAGTGGACTAAGTAATAACAGAGTGCACTAAGTAATAACAGAGTGGAGGACTAAGTAATAACAGATTGGACTAAGTAATAACAGAGTGCACTAAGTAATAACAGATTGGACTAAGTAATAACAGAGTGCACTAAGTAATAACAGATTGGACTAAGTAATAACAGAGTGCACTAAGTAATAACAGATTGGACTAAATAATAACAGAGT